TTGCTGGCCCAGCAGGAGAAGGCAGGAAAGACCAGTGTGATGGAGTAGTGTGCAAGGGCTGTTGGGAGGTCCACAGGGGTAAGAAGAGTCCCCAATCCCTATTACACCGTCCCAGGACCCAACTCACAAAGTATACGGCTCCAAAGCTGCCATGGCCAATTTCCCGGAGGTCAGAGAAGAGCTTTTCTGGGTCATCTTTGAAGAAGAGCTCAGCCACATCTGGGTCCTTCAGGCTCCCGGCCCGGCCCCCAGCTGGCATGGTGGCCCCTGGGGGCCCTGAGAGTGGGGCCTGGCCTGGGGAATGGAAATGGGACCCTTAGAGCAAGGACTGAGCCTTCAGGGAGAGGAAGGGACCCATCAAGTTTCTGCCATCTCCTCCCCTCATTCCCTGATGAGGGGGAGGCACTGCTGAGGAAGGGGAGGGGGAGATTAGGAACGACATCAAAGCTCCAAAAAATGAAGTTGCCCTGGTAACCAGATCACGCGGGCTGGGTCCCTGGAGTCCCTAAAACTGCTAGGAAGATTCTGGGAAGCTAAGCATCCTCACCACCCCCTTCAGCACTCAACAAGTTCTCATTTCTCTATAGCCCCTGTATCTGCCCTCAAGGATAAAACATTCTGCCTCCCAGGCAGCACTCCAGAGCCCCAAGTGTCCTGTCCCATAAGTCCCATACCCAACTGTTTCCAGGCACCTTTCTGTTCCCCTTGGTGCTGAGGCCCCCTCCTCCCTCAATCTCTCACACCCTGGAAGAGAAGAGGAAATGGCCAGGCCGGAGGCGGTGGAAATCCGTCCATTGTTAGAAGTGGGTACGGGCCCAGAGGGGCCCGCAGAGTCACTCTCAAAAAGGGCAGGGGGAGATCTAGAATGGGAAGAATAGGGATATAAATGGCATCTGGCTGTGAGGGCCTCTCTGTGGTCTGGGCCACCTTACTTGTCCTGTCCAATTGCATAAGCATCACACACAGGTACAGGACATTTGCAGGGTACAAATAACATTTATTGAGCACCTTACATGCATTATCTCTTATTCAGTCCTCACCACAACCTTATGAAGCAAGTATTATGATTTCCCCTATATTACAGATAAAGAAACAGGCACAGCAAGGTTAAGTGCCTTGTCCAAAGCTGGTCCTCCATCATTATGATTTCAGAGCCCTTCAAAACAGACAGGGCAGAATCATGATCACCATTTCCTAGGTGAGATCTCTGAGGCACAGAGAAGAAAAAGGACTTCTCCAAGGTCAGAAAACAGAACCTTCTGCTCCCTGGTTAGGCCTGCCCATTACTCTCTCAGTTGTCACTCCAAGTTCAGCTCCCCTCTTGCAGGAAGCCTGTCCTGACCACTCCAGCCATTGGGAAGAGTGCCTAGGGCACCCAGCCAAACACCCAGAGAAAGTTCCTGCAGGATACCAGAACCAAAACCCTCAAGGAGATTCCAAACAGGCTCCATCCAGCCTAAGCATTTGTCAGAATTTGGGCACAAAGGGGCCTTCAGCAGAGCTGGACTCCTGGGGCAGAGTTCTAGCTACTTAAAAGCACCTAACAATTTTAGCATGTAATTTATTCTGTCATGCATTGTTTCCTGTTGTGTTGTTAATTTTGTCTCCTCAGTCCAACTGGAAGCTGGAGGGCAAGGAGGGAGCCTGACTCTCCAGTGGGCCCCCAGGGTGCAGAGGGCTCAGAATAGCCTGGGAGACTGATGATTGCTCTCTGCTCAGCCCTCAGCAGCTCCCAGGTTGCTCAAAGTAAGGCCCTTTTCTCTCTTCTGCCAGCAATACTGCCAAGCACCCCTCACCAGCACCACACACCCACACACAAAGGCAGGTGCTCTCAACTTGCCAAAGGAATCTTCCTGACCTCTTTACCAATACAGGGCCCCAGAATGCTAACCTAGGACCCAAGGCCACATGGAAGGGGTGCCACCCACTGGCAAAACATCATGCAGGTCCCCTTCCCTATAATAACAACAAACACTTGAACAATAACAAAGGTCAGTGCTAAATCATAACCACCTTCCAAAATGGACAACGTTATCTCCATTTTACAGATGAGGAAACCCATATCAATCTGTTCCTAAGCTATGCTACCAGTAAATCCCATCTGCAATGTACAGCAACAGGGCTTTGAATAAGTTCCTTCTAGTTCTTGGTCTTCTCTTCAGTGAAATGGATTACAGCATGGAGCTGTTGTAAGATTTTAATGAGATCTCATACTTAGGAACACCATGCAGACACTCAGCATATGGATTTTTCCTTTCCTGCCTCCAAGGTCCCCACAAAGCTTTAATCCTTTGGGGGCTCATTCTACCCCAACAGCTTGGCTTGAACAGTTAAAAGATGCCAGTAGTGCTACCATTTGTCAGGAGCCAGCCCTCTCAGGAATCCAGGCCAAACCCTGGGATCAGAGTAAAGATGAAGGTCACAGTGGATGAAAACTCCATGAGGCAGTGGCAAAAACCAGAGTCTCCCATCAGGAAAAGCTTCCGAGTAGAGCCCTCCTGGAAAGGAAGCTCATCTCACCCCCATTCTTAAACCCCATCCCAGCCTGGTCTCCTGGGGACCCTGGCCGAGCCCAAACTCAGAGGAAAAGAGATGGCAAGAGACAGGCATGCATCAGGGAAAGATGTGATTGAGGACCTGAGTTCAAATTCTGGTTTTGCCACTGTGTGACCTTGGGCAACCTCTCTGGGCCTCAACGTTCTCAACTGTAAAATGGGAAGATGCCAATAAAAGAGGCCGCCACACGGTGAATGCGGGGATGTCACATGAGAGAATGGCTGTCAAAGCACTTTGTAAAAGACAGATCGTTTGACAAATAGATGAGATTATTGATACCATCAGAGCAAGAGACTGGAAGGGAACTGCAGCTGGGGGAAAACATTGCCAGGCACCTCCAAGCACACACACAAGCATACACACACGCATACACACAAACACATATACACACACTTCCTTGCAAGGACAAGAAATCCAACCAGACCAGGCCTGAAAAGCAGATAAGCAGACCCACCAGAGGAATCAGAGGCATGGGATTCAACACCGCAGAATAGGCAGGAGAAAGGGGCATATCAGGGAGGAGAGGCGGCTGTGAGGGGCAAAGTGAAGGCGAGAAGACTGAAGTGTAAATCCATATGATTAGCTGAAGCGCCCTAGGGTGTGAACCCCGGTGACATCAGAGACCCTGTCACCTGAGGTCCCCCACCAACCAGACACAATGAAGGGAAGAGGAAGGGGAAGGGGGTGGCAACAGAAGGCAAGGCTACCCAGAGGCTGACCACTGGCTGAGCTGGGCTTCCCCATCCTGAGGAGAGGGCCTACCCAAGTCCAGCTTCTCAGAAAGGCGCACCCTTTCTTCTCAGAGCTAGACACAGGGACCCGCGCCCCTGCACCCCGTGTCTCACCTGGTAGGGGTCACTATGGTGCCCCAGCGCCTCCGCTTCCGCCTGGGGTCCTCCAGCGGCTCTGCCAAGTAGGGAGAGGGGCAAGGAGACCTTTCCCCTTGCCACCTCTTCCTCGGCTTTCGCCCTTCCTGAGGGGCGGGCCCGGGAAGCCTCCCCTGGAGGGGAGGGGGTGACAACCTAATCTGACCTCGCGGTCCAGTCCTCCCCCTCCTCGAGGGCGACAGCTGCCGAATTCCGGATTTCTGATTGCGGGGTCTGAACCCCGAATATTTGAACGGGATGGAGACTGAATCCGATATTTGAACGCCTGGGGAATGAACCCCGGATACTGGTGCACGCAGGGGCCTGAACCCGATATTTGAAATTCTATGAAACAGAGACCCAGGTTTAGAGAGGTTGGGACCCGAGTCCCGGATATCTGGACTATGAGAACTGATACCCGGGTATCTGAGAAGCGAGGGGCAAAGCCTGGAAATTTGGGACCCAGGAGCCTGAGCCCTAGGTCTTCGGCCACCGACTGGGGGCCCACCCCGAGGACGTCCGGCCGCACGGCCCCTCTCACGCCGGGGTCCGAGGGTGACAGCCCCCACTCCCGCCCCTGCCTCCTCTCTCTCCCTTCTCTCTTCCGAGAATAGCTGAAAGATTATAGCTAAGGCGCTGCTGACGGTCCCCGCGCCCTCTCTGCCTCTCCTCTTCTCCGTCTCAGCCTCTCTCCGCAACACAGCCCAGGTCTCGTCCCGGTCTCCCTCTCCCTCTTCCTCCCAATTCCAAGATGGAGACCGGGCGGGAGCGCGCAGGCGCGGTAGGGACGCCGGGCCAAAGGGGGCGGGGCAGCGAAGGACTCAGCCCCGCCCTCTCCTCTCACTGCCGCGGCCTGGGAGACCAGCAGCCGCCGAGCCCGAGTGCGCGCGCGCCCCGCCACGCGGACCCCGGGCCGGAGGAGGCGGGGAGAAGGGCTAGGCTTGCAAGGGGAGGAGCCCGGCACTCTGTCCCACGACTGGCGGTGGACAGAGCTGCAGCGCATGCGTTCGCCCCGCCTTTGCTCTCAGCCCGAGGTTGTTGCTAGGGGAAGCTTTGAGGGGGCGAGGGTGGACGGACAGCAGCGGCGATCTGCGCCTGCGCGCAGGGTGGAAGTTGGGAGGGGCAAGGGAAGATGCTGCTGGGCGCGGAAAAAGCGGGAAAATAGACTGCTCCGAGGTTAGCAACCATCTAGCCTGGACGAGGGCCCCCAAGTGCGAGGAATCTTTGCGCGTTGATGCTGGGGAAACTCAATAGGTCAAATCTCTTACGGAAATTGAGGCGCTGCAGGTTGCAAGACTTGCCAAGGTCACGGTGCATTTATGTCACAGCATTTCCATGACCTGACACCCCACCCGCCCAACTAACTGTAATTATATCCATTTTGTTTCGTAGAAGAAAACAAGACAGGTGTTTACCAAAGCCAAGTTAACCATGGGGAGAGCTCAAGTAACCTATGCCCTATGGCAACCTGTGTCCAAACTAAAGAGTCAACAGAAAAGAGTCCCCCAAAACTTGTAAGCCTGCCTACCCTAAAATCCCCACCTCAATCCAACCCCCAATAAACACCATACACGCCACTGGGCAAAAAGCTTTTTATTTTCCCCCACATTCCAGCTCTTCGCTTTTTCTAAAACCTTTTCCAACTCAGAGCCAAGGCCCAAGAAGTTGATTCACACCTGAGGAGAAAGAAAAGAAAACAACAAAACAGGTCGGAGAGCTGCTAGAGGAAGCTCTGAGATGTGTGCAGAAATTGAGGAACGAGCAGAGGGAGTGACAGCTAGAGACCAATACAGGCATTTGATCCCAACTAAGGTAGCCTCAGGACCCCAGGGTCTGCCAGGGGCAGGAAGCCCTCCTTCCCCAGTCCAAGGTTGAGAGGGTCCTGTCATTTCCTGTCCCAAGTAGGTGGCTGGGGCATTTAGGTCCAGCCATCAGCAAAATAAGCAGAGTTGATCTTGAGCTTCCAGTTCCTCTGGCCCGATCAGTTTCCTGAGCCTGAACTATTTCCACTTTTCCCATAGTAACTTCCTAGGGCACCGCAGCCAGCTGAAGCTGAGACCAGTTCAAGAGCTGGATGCATAAAACATGGCTCTCAGATTACATGCACCCTCCCTCTGACAAGTGAAGATTTTTTGCAGAAATATTTTTTCCCTTAGTGGGCTGACATGTGAACCTAATGACCCCCACCCACTGCTACGTTTGTGAAGCTGATTCCCTCCAAAGATCTTGTTAACAGAATCAGCTTTTTCTAAAGGTAACGATGACTAAATGGAAGAGAGAAGGTGCATGTCAAGTTCTTGGGCACATACTATGTCCCCAGTAAATGGGTATCATCAATTAGACTCTTCTGAGCAGTTCAAGTTGAATTTTACAAAATTTTCATCATAAAACTGGGTATCGGAATTTCAGGACAAAAGCAAGACAAACATGGTTCATACCCAGGACGAATCATCAAATGCGAACCCTCTTAACTCACCATTGTTACCCAAATGCTTGGATGCGAACTAGTTATGGGTGTCTTAAAATCACAATGTTGCTTGAAAGAAGTCAGCCACAAAAGAATGTGTATGATTCTGTCTACATAGGTTCAAAAATAAGTAAACCCAAACTATATTATTTAGGAATACATACTTGGCAATAAATTATAAAGCAGGACAGTAGTTATTTCTAGGGAGAGGGAGGGCATAGTCAGGAAGGAAGGGACCATGGGAGTTTGTGGACTGCTGGTAATATTCTATTCCTTTCCTCAGTGGTATTTATAAGTATCCACTTTATAATAATTTGCCAAGCTGTCCTTTTATGGTATTGGACTTTTCTACATAAGTGTTAAATATTTTATAGTAAAAAAGTTAAAGTAATTAGAAAAATATTGAATGCTCACGGTGTCAAATTGTTCCCAGTCCCTAAGGGAAAGCTGTGGTTGAAGAGGTTCTCGGGGACTCAGAAGCAGCAGTCTTTGAGGAAAAGTCCAAAGATCTGCTCTACCCCAGTTACAACCTCCACCCCCACCCCATTCCCTGCTCCCGCAGGACTGGAGCAAAGAACCTCACCTGAGAAACAAGTCGGGAACTAGGCCAGTGCCCTCAGAGCCGGGTTCTAGACCAGTGGGACTCCCGGCGCGGGTGGAAGCACATAGCAGTGACACAGCAGAGAAGGCCACAGAAGAGAAGCAGGAAGGAGCCCAAGACCAGCAGCCTGGAGCCACACAGAGCCAGCTCCTCCTACGGAGGGGTACAGGGAGGGGAGGAGGAGGAGATCTTAATCCAGCCCAAGGGCTATAGAGGGAGCCTCCATGAGGGAGAGGGCTCTCCACATCTAGGGAGCAACTAAAGGGAAAATGTTATTTTTTTTTTTGAGACAGTCTCGCTCTGTAGCCCAGGCTGGAGTGCAGTGGCTGGATCTCAGCTCACTACAAGCTCCGCCTCCTGGGTTCACGCCATTCTCCGGCCTCAGCCTCCCGAGTAGCTGGGACTACAGGCGCCCGCCACCTCGCCCGGCTAGTTTTTTGTATTTCTTAGTAGAGACGGGGTTTCACCGTGTTAGCCAGGATGGTCTTGATCTCCTGACCTCGTGATCCACCCGTCTCGGCCTCCCAAAGTGCTGGGATTACAGGCTTGAGCCACCGCGCCCGGCCAATGTTATTTTCATATAAGTTGACATTTATTTATTTATTTAAACAGGGTCTCACTCTGTCACCCAGGCTAGAGTACAGTGGTGCGATCTCGGCTCACTGCAACCTCCACCTCCTGGGCTCCAGTGATCTTCCCACCTCAGCCTCCTGAGTAGCCGGGACCACAGGTATGTGCCACCATGCCCAGCTAATTTTTTTTTGTATTTTTTGTAGAGATAGGGTTTCGCCATGTTGCCCAGGCTCGAACATTTGTCTTGATGGTTTGAAAACTACTTTCTTGCCCAGCTATCAACCTGAACCCCCATCATGACTCCAAGAGATAGGAAACTTCATTATGATCCACATTTTAAAGATGTGTAAGCGGCCGGGCGTGGTGGCTCACACCTGTAATCCCAGCATTTTGGAAGGCTGAGGAGGGTGGATCATGAGGTCAGGAGATCGAGACCATCCTGGCTAACATGGTGAAACCCCGTCTCTACTAAAAATACAAAAAATTAGCTGGGTGTGGTGGTGGGCGCCTGTAGTTCCAGCTACTTGGAAGGAGGAGGCAGGAGAATGGCATGAACCTGGGAGGCAGAGCTTGCGGTGAGCCAAGATTGCGCCACTGCACTTCAGCCTGGGTGAGAAAGCGAGACTCCATCTCAAAAAAAAAAAAAAAAGTGCAAGCAGTGCTACATCTAGAAACCAGATCTCTGATTCCAAGTCCCAGGTTACGTTCCTCATGGGGTTTTTTCTTTTTTTTTTTTTTTTTTAAGACGGATCTTCAAGGATCATCCTGACCTGATGGAAGGTGTGGGTTGCAATCCTGGCTCTGCCACTTAACCAGTTGTGTGGCCTTCGGCAATTCACTCCCTCTCTCTAAACCTGTTTCCTCATCTGCAAAATGGGATAATAACACCTACCTCAAAAGGCTATTTTAAGATCAAATGAATTAATGAACCCTAAGAGCACTTTGTGCATTATAAACTGCTGTACACAATGCTCTTTGGTAAATGCCACCTTCTGTGTGAAGCACTCTCCACAAATGTTCAAGTTAGGGTTAATGGCTCCTTATTCTGTGTTTGCATAACACTTTGCTCACATCTTTCTAATAGCAATTAGCCCATTTGCCTCTTATTACATCTTCTGAACTCCTTTGAGGTAGAGAGAATGTTTTAAAGACAATAGTAAACAATAATAGCTGTCACTTATCAAATCTCTATGTCCTAGGCATTGTGCTGGGCACTTCACAGTCATTCTCATTTAATCCTTATTTGGTGGAATTAAGAGATAGGGTCATGTTTTCTGTTTTACAGATGAGGAAGCTGACACTCAGAGATGTTTAGACACTTGTTCTAAGTCACACAGCCCCCAAGGCAGGGTTATAAAACCTGTGCTTTTTCTACAACGTAGAATTGTTTCCAGGGGCCTTCAAGATACAGCAGTCAGCAGGCAGTCCACAAAACCCTGGTGACCCATCCGAGGCTCTTACCGAGGTCAGCAGCTTGGTCAGCACAAGGCCTTCGTGGCTCCAGACACTAACGCACTCCTCACCCATTCTAGGGCTCAGGGTGGCATTTCCAGCCCCCTCCTCTGAGCAGGATATGGGTGGCTGACTGGAGGGTAGGATTCCTGGAACAGCACTAAAATACAGGCAGGTTCCTGCAGTCCTTTCTGTGGTCACCCTGGCTGTGATAAGGACCAGTTGTCCTGCAGAAGATCCTGTGAAAGGCACAAAAGATGGAAGAAAATGAGGGGTGACGCGGGAGCCTCTGTCTTCACACTTCTATTCTTTTCTTTCTTTCTTTATTTTTCTGAGATGGGGTCTCACTTTGTCGTGCAGGTTGGAGTGCAGTGGCACAATCCCAGCTCACTGGAGCCTCAACCTCCTGGGCTCAAGTGATCCTCCCACCTCAGTCTCCCGAGTAGGTGGGACTACAAGCATGCGCCACCCGCCTGGCTAATTTTAAAATTTTTTTGTAGAGACAGGGTATCACTGTATTGCCCGGGCTAGACTCAAACTCCTGGGCTTAAGTCATCCTGCTATCTTGACCTCCTAAAATGTTGGGATTCCAGGCATGAACCACCATGCCTGGCCCTATTTATTTTTTAAGGCTTTCTTTAATACCAGGTGTTTTGGCATTGATTCTATTCAATGAACTATTCCATATACCATTATTTGTATCACTGAGAAATGAACTTTGTATCAATATAAACACCAATTAAGTTGCAATTTAAATTAATTTAAATTACAATCAATACAACAACCATACCAATACTCGCAAGGCTGCAGTGAAATGGGCAGATACACATTGCCCATGTCAGTTTGCATAAACTAGCTCATCCTTTTTAAGAAAGCAGTTTCTCACTTGGTACCAAAATCCATTGAAAGGTTCTCACCCTATTTTAAATTAGTGGGGAAAGGATGGCCTCAGTAAATGGCCTTGGGAAAATTTCCATGTAGAAAAAAACATAGCGTCAAACTGTTATCCTATAAAATAAAATAAAGTCCAGATGTATTAAAGAACTATACAAACTAAAAAAAAACTTAAGTATTAAAAGAAAATACAGTATATTTTATTTTATTATTATTATTATTTTTTTTGAGACGGAGTCTTGCTCTGTCCCTCAGGCTGGAGTGCAGTGGCACGATTTCGGCTCACTGCAAGCTCCGCCTCCCGGGTTCACACCATTCTCCTGCCTCAGCCTCCCGAGTAGCTGGGACTACAGGCGCCCGCCACCACACCCGGCTAATTTTTTGTATTTTTTAGTAGAGACAGGGTTTCACCATGTTAGCCAGGATAGTCTCGATCTCCTGACCTCATGATCCGCCCGCTTCGGCCTCCCAAAGTGCTGGGATTACAGGCATGAGCCACCACGCCCAGCCATTTTATTTTATTATTTTTGAGACAGAGTTTCACTCTTGTTTTTGCCCAGGCTGGAGCGCAGTGGCGCGATCTTGGCTCACTGCAACCTCCACCTCCTAGGTTTAAGTGATTCTCCTGCCTCAGCCTTGAGAGTAGCTGGGATTACAGGCACCCACCACCATGCCCAGCTAATTTTTTGTATTTTTAGTAGAGACGGGGTTTCATCATGTTGGCCAGGCCGGTCTAGAACTCCTGACCTCAGGTGATCCACCTGCCTCAGCCTCCCAAAGGCTGGGATTACAGCAATCAGCCACCATGCCTGGCCAGAATATTTTCTAATTTTAAAATGAGGAAGGCCTTCCTATGAAAGACACAAAACCTAAAAGTCTTAATAAAGGACAAGAGTGACAAACCTAACCTCATAAAAATTAAAGACTTCTATGCAATGAAAGATAAGTTAAAAAAACAAGTAACATATTGATTGAAAATACCTATATTTAAATGACAAAAAGGATTACTATCCAGAATAAAGACCTTCCACAAATCAAGAAGACAAAGACAAATAACTGAAAAGAAAAATGAACAAAGGAAACAAACAGGTAATTCACAGACAACATGAAAACAGACAATAAACCATAAGAGGTTCAACCTTACTAGCAATCAGGAGAAAGTAAATTAAAACAATTGGGTAATAGGCCAGACCTGGTAGTTCATGCCTGTAATCCCAGCACTTTGGGAGGTGAGGCAGGAGGATCACTTGAGCCCAGTAGTTTGAAACTAGCCTGGGCAACATAGTGAGACCCCATCTCTACAAAAAATAAAAAAATTGGCCAGGCGCAGTGGCTCACGCCTGTAATCCCAGCACTTCAGGAGGCCGAGGCGGGCGGATCATAAGGTCAGGAGTTCAAGACCAGCCTGGCCAACATGGTGGAATGCCATCTCTACAAAAAAATACAAAAATTAGCTGGGCATGGTGCCACGTGCCTGTAATCCCAGCTACTTGGGAGGTTGAGGCAGGAGAATCTCTTGAAACTGGGAGGCAGAGGTTGCAGTGAGCTGAGATCGCACCACTGCCCTCCAGTCTGGGTGACAGAGCGAGACTCCGTCTCAGGGAAAAAAAAAAAAATTAGCTGGGCATGATGGCGAGCACCTGTAATCCCAGCTACTCAGGAGGCTGAGGTGGGAGAATGCTTACTCCAAGTCCTGCCTCCCAGGGATAAACAATCCTCCCACCTTAGCCTTCTGAGTAGCTGGGACTACAGGCGTGTGCCACCACGCCTGGCTATTTTTTTTTTTTTTTTTTTTTGTATTTTTAGTAGAGACAGAGTCTTGCCATGTTGTCCAGGCTGGTCTCAAACTCCTGAGCTCAAGCAATCTGCCTCTTGGCCTCCCAAAATGCTGGGATTACAGGCGTGAGCCACCACGTCCGGCCCTAACTGTACACTTCCAATGGGTGAACTGTATTGTGTATGAATCATATCTCAATAAAACTATTATGTATCTATTTAAAAGTAAAAAGAATGAGAAAGAATTGTCCCAAGTCTGCATATATCAGACACAGTCCTTATTTTTGTTAACATATATGTACACCTGGACAGGCAGAGACCCACTCCCCCGTTACATACATACTCATAGGAGAATCTTAGAATGATAGTGTTGTAAAGGACCTCAGAAGTCAAAAAATACCACCCTCTTCCATCCCTCTTTATCTCAGCATATTTTAGATAAGGCAAATGTCATACAGGGATTAATGGCATCCACTGACATTTTCACTTTCTGTCTCTCTCGCTTGTCATTTTCCCAGAACACTATAGCTCTTTGGAAATTTATGTTGTCTAATTTTTTTCTGCATCCTTTGTGGCAATACAGAACTATGCTAAGCACATAGCGGGCCCTTATGACACTGGTTTAATTGAATATGCTTCTCTGATATCCCTGAGGAAAAAGGGGTCTCTAAGAGGAGGTAGCTAAAGGATGAGGAAACAGTAGGTCAAATCTAGCCCATTTCATCCTACCTCCAAAGATAGACTCAAAGAACGTCAGAACTGGCAGAGGAAGAAAGCATTCATAGAAAACCTACCCTGTTGGCAGCATGTTCACTGAAAGCCCGAACCACAGAAGTGACTAAAGTCCAGGGATGTGTCCAAGGTCATCATTGGTGAGGTCAGAGGTAGGGTCCAGCCCTGAGTGTTCTGATGCCCGACCCCACAGTCCTCTGTGATCTCACCTTACTTTTTTTTTTTTTTTTGGTGGGACAGAGTCTGTCTCTGTCGCACAGGCTAGAGTGCAGTGGTGTGATCTCTGCTTATTGCAACCTCAGCCTTCCGGGTTCAAGAGATTCTCCTGCCTTAGCCTCCCAAGTAGCTGGGACTACAGGCGCCTGCCACCACACCTGGCTAATTTTTGTATTTTTGTTTGTTTGTTTGAGACGGAGTCTCACTCTGTCTCCCAGGCTGCAGTGCAGTGGCACGATCTTGGTTCACTGCAACCTCCACCTCCCAGGTTCAAGCAATTCTCCTGGCTCAGCCTCCTGAGTAGCTGGGACTACAGGCGCGCACCACCAAGCCTGGCTAATTTTTTTTTGAGACTGAGTCTTGTTCTGTCGCCCAGGCTGGAGTGCAATGGTACGATCTCGGCTCTCTGCAACCTCCGCCTCCCGGGTTCAAATGATTCTCCTGCCTCAGCCTCCTGAGTAGCTGGGATTACAGGCGTGTGCCACCATGTCCGGCTAATTTTTGCATTTTTAGTAGACATGGGGTTTCACCATGTTGGTCAGGCTGGACTCGAACTCCTGACCTCGTGATCTGCCTGCCTCGGCCTCCCAAAGTGCTGGGATTACCCGTGTGAACCACTGTGACCAGCCTACCCAGTTAATTTTTGTATTTCTAGTAGAAATGGGGTTTCATGGCAGGGTGCAGTGGCTCAAGCCTGTAATTCCAGCACTTTGGGAGGCCGAGACGGGCGGATCACGAGGTCAGGAGATCGAGACCAACCTGGCTAACACGGTGAAACCCCGTCTCTACTAAAAAAATACATAAAACTAGCCGGGCATGGTGGCGGGCGCCTGTAGTCCCAGCTACTCCAAAGGCTGAGGCAGGAGAATGGCGTAAACCCGGGAGGCGGAGCTTGCAGTGAGCTGAGATCCAGCCACTGCAACAGAGCGACACTCCGTCTTGAAGAAAAAAAAAAAAAGAAATGGGGTTTCACCATGTTGGCCAGGTTGGTCTCAAACTCCTAACCTCATGATCCGCCCTCCTCGGACTCCCAAAGTGCTGGGATTATAGGCATGAGCCACCGTGCCTGTACTATTCTTAATTTTTTTTTTTCGAGACAGAGTTTCACTCTGTCACCCAGGCTGGAGTGCAATGGTGCAATCTCGGTTCACTGCAACTTCAGCCTCCTGGGTTCAAGCGATTCTCCTGCCTCAGCCTCCCAAGTAGTTGGGATTAGACGCACCTGCCACCATGTCTGGCTAATTTTTGTATTTTTAGTAGAGATGGGGTTTCACCATATTGGCCAGGCTGGTCTCGAACTCCTAACCTCGTGATCCGCCCTCCTCGGACTCCCAAAGTGCTGGGATTATAGGCATGAGCCACCGTGCCTGTACTATTCTTAATTTTTTTTTTTTTTGAGACAGAGTCTTGCTCTGTCACCCAGGCTGGAGTGCAATGGTGCAGTCTTGGTTCACTGCAACTTCAGCCTCCTGGGTTCAAGCGATTCTCCTGCCTCAGCCTCCCAAGTAGTTGGGATTAGATGCGCCTGCCACCATGTCTGGCTAATTTTTGTATTTTTTTTTTTTTGAGACAATTTTTGTATTTTTAGTAGAGATGGGGTTTCACCATGTTGGCCACGCTGGTCTCGAACTCCTGACCTCAAATGATCCACCTACCTCGGCCTCCCAAAATGTTGGGATTACAGGTGTGAGCCACCAAGCCCAGCCTCTGATCTCACCTTTCAATCCCATCTGACTACCCAAGACCGTCGCCTGGAATATCCGGGTCTTGTTCCTGTCTGGACTGTCTCCGAAGTTCAAGGTGGTCAGTAAGCCCACGACGTGAGACCCTCGCCACTTCCCTGTGACTGTCCCATTCCTGGGACACAGGGTCAGCTGGCCAAAAGATCTCAAAAAAGAGACCCAGTCCTGTGAGCAAAAGAAGGGTGGGAGATGGGTGAGATGAGATTAGCAGCAAAAGCCTGTCTAGGTTGGAAGGAAGAGCAGGTATGGGGGTGGGGAACTTACCTGGGGGATGTCAGGGCTGCGCAGGCCAGTCCTGTGGGTGAGGAGGAAGCTGCCAAGGCCCAGGCCGGAGAGGCCAAGGAGCAGCAGGATCAAAGTGGCACAGACCAGAGGTGGGTGGTGGGCCAGACACAGGTGCAGGTTGTGCCCTGCCTGGCAGTTGCCCATGGGGAGCAGAGGGGGCTGAGCCTCCGGGGAGAGCCTGCTGGAGGACAGGGAGGGAGAATGGGACAAGAGCACCTCTTTTACGCAAAGAGAAAAGAAAGCTCAGAGAAGACAAGGGACTTTCCAAGGCCACACAGTAAGTGGCAGAGCCAGAACAAGAATCCAAGGTTCCCGACTCCAAAAGTTCATCTCCCTGCACTGCTGGATAAATATTTGCTGCATTTAATTTCTGAAGTAATCTCAGTGGAGGCAGAGCAGGGCACTCCGTGGTGGAAGAAGGAACCCCAAAGGGAGACTTCTCAGCTGGAGAAACAGGAAGCACTGTTCTGGGGCGAGGGTTTGGCTGAGGAATAGTTCCAGCCAGAGCCCAGACAAGGGAAGATTCTGGAGAAGAACTCCACTGTGCAGCTAAACGGCTAGATCTGAATCCCTTTCTGTTACTCACTGACTCTGTGAGCTTAAGAATCCATGAAATAGGAGTTCTAAGAACACCAAGTAATAAGGATTAAACGTGGTGGATGAAGCAATCTGCGTGGTATTTGGCCATGCAGAATTCAACAGATGTCCATTTCCTTTCTCTTTCTCGTACAGATTCTCAAAACCGGGTAAGGCGAGGCAAAAAATACTGTGGGGGAAACTGAGGCTCGCGGACTTTAACATAGGAGGGGTAGGGCCAAGGTCTGAACCCTGTCTCCTGCTTCCAAGTGGGGTGCTCCTTCCCACGCAAGGTGCGACAGCCTGATGGAAAAGAACTTCTGGAAGGCGAAGAGATAAACAGCGGTGGGGGGAGAAGGAGGGAGCCACGGAAATGCAGGTGTCACAAATGCTCAGCCCTGCCCCGCCTCCCGTCCGGCTGGAAGGGGGTTAAAGGGAGGAGAGGGTAGAGCCTGGGGGTCCGCGGCCGCTGGTGCACCTGAGCACCCCCTCCCCGGAAAGCCCCCGCCCCGAACGATTGCAACACCCTCGTCCCCTCCCGGTCTCGCGCGTCCGATCCGCCAGCCGCTCGCGCTTACCACTCCGGGCCCGGCGGAGGCCGGCGCCCCCTGCGACGTCACGCGCGGGGCCGCGAAGGGGCGGGGTCCGTGCTCCGCGCTTCCGTACCCGACCCTCCTCCCCGCGCGGCCCCGCCCCAAGGACGGGTCCGCATGCGCAGTGGCCACGCGGGCGCCAGCCACGCAGCTCCCCGCCAGGGTGGGGGCGTACCAAAGGGACACCCGAGGAAGGGGCCACCGGGAAGGAAAACCTCCGCGGGAAGGGTGGAAACGGGAGGAAGGCTAGGGAGCAAGTGCGAGAAATGTCGCAGAAGCCCACAGGCTCCCTCCAGAGAGACTGGCGAGAACTGCCCTAGAAACTTGTCGCGGGCATTTTTGGGCTGTGCGTCCCCCACCCGCGCCAATAGCACAGCCCAACCGCGCCCGGGTTCCGGGTGAGGACTCGGCAACCGCTCGGAGCTGCAGGGCTGCCGCTGTAGGACTCGTCCACTGGAGCTGGAAGTGGTGTTTTGGGCTCCGCTCTTCTGTGCACCCCGATCATGCTTAATGTCTGCACCTTTTTCGTGGACCCTGGCCTTTAGTGACTCCTTAATGTATAGGATGCTGGAGCTGAAGAGTTGCTCAGTAGAGAGCATCTCGGTTCACTTCTACCCAAGTTTTAGAGGTGAGAACATCTGGCCGGAGGTAGCATGACACATGGAGCCAGGAACTTTGGGTTCAAATCCTGACTATCCGTACCCTCGCGTAAGCCATAGCCGCGCTCTCAGGGGACTAAGCTTACCCCTCTGCTAAAGAGGATCATCCTACCTATCTCACCGGTTGGATCAGAAGCTCAAGGGGCAAAATGTGGGAAAACATGGGCCCAGTGCCCACTGAGCACACAGGACAGATGCTACTTGAAACGGAATCTATTTAATTCGACTGTGGTTTCCTTAAGGCGGAGACTATGTTGTTTGTATCACCAACCACAAAAGTTTGTGGCACAAAACCTTCGCATATACAGTCAAATGATTTTTTTTTTCTTTTTTTTCTTTTTTTTTTTTTGAGACGGGGTCTTGGTCTGTAGCCAGGCTGGAGTGCAGTGGCGCGATCTTGGCTCACTGCAACCTCCACCTCACGGGTTCAGGCGTTTCTCCTGCCTCAGCCTCCCGAGTTGCTGGGACTACAGGCGCACGCCACCACGCCCAGTTAATTTTTGTGTTTTTAGTAGAGACGGGGTTTCACCATGTTGGCCAGGATGGTCTCGATCTCTTGATCTCGTGGTCTGCCCGCCTCTGCCCCCAAAGTGCTGAACCACCGCACCCAGCTGATTTTTTTTTTTTTTTTTTTTTTTTTTTTTGAGACAGAGTCTCGCTTAGTCGCCCAGGCTGGAGTGCAGTGGCACAATCAAAGCTCACTGCAGCCTGGACGTCTTGGGCTCAAGAGATCCTTCTGCCTCAGCCTCCTGGGTAGTTGAGACAGCCAGTAGTCACACGCCACCCACCATGCCCAGCTAACTTTTGCACTGTGTGTAAGAGACGGGGTTTTGCCGTTTGCCATGTTGCCCAGGTATGTCCCAAACTCCTGGCCTCAAGCAGTCCTCCCGCCTCAGCCTCCCAAAGTGCTGGGATTACAGGCGTGAGCCACCATGCCCTGACTAGTCAAATGATTTTTGACAAGGGTGCTGTGGCCATTCAGTAGAGAAAAGTATATTTTCTGTGCATCAAAGGACACAACAGGCTGGGCATGGTGTCTCAAGCCTGTAATCCTAGCACTTTGGGAAGCCGAGGCAGGTGGATCACCTGAGGTCAGTAGTTTGAGACCAGCCTGGCCAACATGGTGAAACCCCATCTCTGCTGAAAGTACAAAATCAGCCAGGCATGGTGCCGGGCCCCTATATTCCCAGCAACTCGGGAGGCTAAGGCAGGAGAATCACTTGAACCCCCAGAGTGGAGGTTGCAGTGAGCTGAGATTGCACCACTTTACTCCAGCCTGGGCAAAAGAGCAAAACTCCGTCTCAAACCCCCACCCCCCAAAAAACAAAACAAAACAAAAAAGAACAGTGAAAAGGCAACCAACAAAATGAGAGGAAATAGCAAATCATATATCTGATAAGGGGTTAATATCTATAATATATAAAGAACTCCTACAACTCAACCACAATAAACAAGCAACTCAATTAAAAGGGCAAAGGACTTGAGTAGACGTTTCTCCAAAGAAATATATACTATACTGTAGAAATGACCAACAAGCAAATTAAAAAATGCTTAACAAAACTAACCATTAGGTAAATGAAATCAAAGCCAAAATGAGATACCACCTTATACCCATTAGGATGTCAGCTATCAAAAATCACTAAATAACAAGTGTTGGTGAGGATGTGGAGAAATCAGAATACTTGTGCACCGTTGGTGGGAATATAAAATAGTGCAGCTGGCCTGGCGCGGTGGCTCCCGCCTGTAATCCCACCATTTGGGAAGCTGAGGCAGGCGGATCACCTGAGGTCAGAAGTTCGAATCCACCCTGGCCAACATGGAGAAACCCTGTCTCTTCTAAAAATACAAAAATTAGCCTGGTGCAGTGACAGGTGCCTGTAATTCCAGCTACTTTGGAGGCTGAGGCAGGAGAATCGCTTGAACCTGGGAGGCAGAGGTTGCAGTGAGCCGAGATCGCACCATTGCACTCCAGCCTGGGCGACAGAGCAAGACTCTGTCTCAAAAGAAAATAAAATAGTGCAGCTGCTATGGAAAACAGTACGGCAATTTGTATTTAAAAAAAAAAAGTAAAAAATAGGCCAGTGTGGTGGTTCACACTGGTAATCCTAGCACTTTGGGAGGCCTAGGCGGGCAGATTGCTTGAGCTCTAGAGTTCAAGACCAGCCTGGCCAATATGACAAAATACAAAAGTTAGCCAGGCATGGTGGCACATGCCTGTGGTTCCAGCTACTTCGGAGGCTGAGGCAGGAGGATTGCTTGAGCTGGGGAGGCGAAGGTTGCAGTGAGCGGACATGGTGCCACTGCACTCCAGCCTGGGAGACAGAGTGAGACTCCATCTCAAAAAAAAAAAAAAAAGGCCGGGCGTGGTGGCTCAAGCCTGTAATCCCAGCACTTTGGGAGGCCGAGATGGGTGGATCACGAGGTCAGGAGATCGAGACCATCCTGGCTAACATGGTAAAACCCCGTCTCTACTAAAAAAAAATACAAAAAACTAGCCGGGCGAGGTGGCGGGAGCCTGTAGTCCCAGCTGCTCGGGAGGCTGAGGCAGGAGAATGGCGTAAACCTGGGAGGCGGAGCTTGCAGTGAGCTGAGATCGGGCCACTGCACTCCAGCCTGGGCGACAGAGCGAGACTCAGTCTCAAAAAAAAAAAAAAAAAAAAACTAAAACAGAGTTTATTCAGTCAACAATTTTTTAAAAAATGCTATGATCTGGGCACAAAATTAATATCCATGTAGCAAAAACTTTGTCAATGCTTCTACTTAAGGACAAGCCTAATTTGTGGGATAAGGCATGAAAGTGTCCAGCATAGGACCTGTACATCATGGGAGGTGAACAAATGTGAACTGCCCCTCATGATTCTTGTGCTTTGGAGTAAGTAGGCATATTTGGGCAATGGTTCTTGTAAATGACCATAATTGATTTTCTCATTCGGCCAAACCAAGCAATTCTATGGACTAGTAGAGGCAAACTGGTTAGAGCAAGGAACTGCCTTGAGGCCTGAGAACAATCGACTTACATAGAGAAAGTAAAGTGGTGGTGGGGGAGCAGGAGAGGACACAAAATTAGTTGTGCATTATAATGCTCCAACAGTATACCAACATTTTTTCTTTTGCATTGTTTTTGAGATGGAGTTTCCGCTCTTGTTGCCCAGGCTGAAGTGCAATGGCGCAATCTCGGCTCACTGCAAGCCCCGTGTACCGGGTTCAAGTGATTCTCCTGCCTCAGCCTCCTGAGTAGCTGGGATTACAGGCACCCACCACCACGCCCAGCTAATTTTATTCTGTTTTGTTTTTTGAGACAGGATCTCACTCTCTCACCCAGACTAGAGTGCAGTGGCCCGATCTCAGCTCACCTCAACCTCTGCCTCTCAGGCTCAAGGGATTCTCCCGTCTCAGCCTCCTGAGTAGCTGGGATTACAGGTGCATGCCACTATCACCTGGCTAATTCTTGTATTTATTAGTAGAGACAGGGTTTCACCATGTTGGCCAGGCTCATCTCAAACTCCTGACCTCAAATGATCCACCCACCTCAGCCTCCCAAAGTACTGGGATTACAGGCATGAGCCACTGCGCCCGGCCTAATTTTCTGTATTTTTAGTAGAGATGGGGTTTCATGTTGGCCAGGCTTGTCTCAAATTCCTGACCTCGAGTGATCCACCCACCTCAGACTCCGGAAGTGCTGGGATTACAGGCATGAACCACCATGCCCGGCCAAGTACACCAACATTTATGACTTAATCCACTCAACAAGCCCTCAAAGTGGATGTTATTTTGGAAACCTGGGCCTTAGTTTAAGTCGGGGTCCCCAACCCCTGGGCTGTGGGGCCAGTACCAGTCCGTGACCTGTTAGGTACTGAGCTGCACAGCAGGAAGTGAATGGCTGGCGATCGAAGCTTCATCTGTATTTACAGCTGCTCCCATTGCCTACATTACTGCCTCAGCTCTGCTTTCTGTCAGATCAGCAGCGGCATTAGATTATCATAGGAGCATGAATCCTATTGTGAACTGCGCATGCGAAGGATCTAGGTTGCTCCTTATGAGAATCTAATGCCTGATGATCTGTCACTCCCATCAACATCAGGTGGGACCATCTAGTTGCAGGAAAACAAGCTCAGGGATCTCACTGATTCTACTTTATGATGAGTTTTTGTATGTATGATAATTATTTGTATTATATATTATAATGTAATAATAATAGAAATAAAGTGCACAATAAATGTAATGTGCTTGAATCATCCCGAAACCATTCCTTCCCCAGTGGAAAAATTGTCTTCCATGAAACTGGTCTCCAGTGCCAAAAAGGTTGGGGACTGCTGGTTTAATTTAACCAAGGTCATACATATATTAGGTGGCAGAAGTTGGGTTATGATTTAAGCCTGACCACAGCATGGCATGTGGGAATGAGAAAGCCCTGTTGAGGCTCATTCATTCAATAAGCATCTGTTGGCTGCCAGGCTGTGTATTCTG